TGAGTACATTTATCCTTTTGCCTTTATCCTTAGGTGGGTTCGGTACAACTATGCTATGATTTTGGCTATGATTTTTACGACAGGCCGCCTGCCTGACGTCAACCCTCCTTGGGAATCATTTTATTCTATTAGTGTGAAGTAAATACCGTGTTCCGTGCTCATTCTCTTTTTATTACTAGTTATAAAATTTTTTCCTTCTGTTGTTAAGAAAAAATCTATACAGTTTATATACACCTATCTAATGGAGGCGTTATAGCGTAAAATACAAAATGTTTTGTAGGAGATTACTGTGTTAATACGATGCGAATATATACACGCATTTCATTGTATCAAGAAAGTAAGGTGAGAGTTGTCAATGTAGGTATTGGCGTTCAATTGGATGCGACATATTGTACGATTTCCTAATTGTTTGTTCTATTGTAATTGTACTAAACAATCTTTTAAGTTATGTATCGTTTTAAATACGGATTACATCATAATTTTTTTTTATTTTAAATTTCCTTTCGTGCGTTGTGAAGCTAATATTCAGATTTTTCTTATATATTTTTATATTCTCTGATGCCCGTTAGCGTTACTACGGTAGAGTTCATTTAAATACACAGTATAGATATACAGTGCGTACACCGTTTCTCACTGTTTTTAAATTGTTTCGACTTTTGTATTCTTGTACATACGATTAATAACACCGGTAACTGACCGTTTATTTGAAAAAAGAATCAAATTCAAATTAAGAAGTAGGTCCACGCAACAGTATTCGCTGTTGCACGAATGGGCAGGTCCGTCCGGGTTAGTACCACGACCGTAAGACCGGCGTAAAGTACACTTCTGCGTTTCGTCTGGTGAGTGAGGTAGTCGGGGCCCACATTATTAAAAGGTCGCAACACATCTGCAACCGGTGTTGCAAATGTCCGTGGGCGGCGGTTATCACTTAACATCAGGTGAACCGCCAGCTCGTTTCCCACTTTCTCACTTAAAAAAAAAGAAGCGCACTTAATATTTGTCGTGTTATAAAATTTTTTAAAGTCTTCGTCCGCAATAAATACTTTTTGTTGATGAATTTAAAACGATACGGATACAGTCAAAACTGACGACTGGGAAAACTCGAGAATCGATACAATGTTCGATTCTGGGTCATGTTTTGCAACTAGTACTGCGATTCATCTGTTTACATGCAAAGTCTTATTGTTGATTCATTTGTTGTTGATGAACGAGTTATTGTTCCGATAAGAATTTCACCGTTGCCCTTGGAAAGGCCGATTAAAGTACGTATGTTGGAAGTCGTTAATCGATGAATGTAAACTTATTAAGGTTGTTTTTGAACCACTTCTGAGTTCTGTGCGCACTATTTCGATTGATGCAATCATCATCCACATGATAAAAGTAGTTACGAGTTTATTAATAACTGTACAAAATTAGATTTTGTTTGTACAAACCGACTAATGCGCTACTTCACTAATGTAATCGATGCTAGGTAATACGTATTATGGAGTTCCTAATAATGTGCTTGTTGCTATTGGATTTGATTTTCAATTTACAATTAAATGTTTAGTAAAAAAAGTTAATTAAGCTTGTTTTAAGAATAGCTCTACTACGTAATGTGCTGTCGTCGCGCAAATAAAAGAGATCATTCCTGTTTTATCTGCTTGTGAAGCAACTAGCTTCACAGTGTATAAAAATTGCTTGTCTTACCTACATTTGCATAGGCGTGACTATTCAAATAATCTGTCGAGATTAAATATCCGTTGAAGGCTTGGAGCGACGTCCTGTGTTTTCCTCTAGACAAGTAACGTAGGTGTATGGACTGTTAGAAAAATCAAGGCAATTGCCCCACGACTTTTCTTAATAACAAAATAATAGCCTTTAAAGAGGCCTTTGCCCAGCAGTGGAAACTTTATACCGTACTTTACAAAATTTGTAACAATTTAAGTTTTAAACATTGTAACGCGCACACTAATTATTACACAATTGTAAGTAAAATTGTAGATAAACGCTGTTCATGTGACTAGTCGTGTGGCCATTGGCGTGAAAAATTCACGTAGAGCGGTCCTCTTACTGATTGCGTCGTGTAAAACGTTTTACATAATCAACCAAATCAAATAACCGCGGAACGTAACTCGGAATGTTTGTACTTATCCAAAATAATCGTGACTTTTAACGCGGTATGTTCGCAATATCCATAGTTATGAATTGGCTAACGTATAAAGGCGCATATAACCTTTAAGGGTTCCGATACCCAAAGGGTAAAACGGGACTCTGTTATAATGTTTATTAACTGACGTGTCCTCGATAAAATTATAATTGGTCTACTGTAAATATTCAATCAACTAATAACAAATTTGTTCTCTGTGAGATATTAATTAAGGAACCTTCAAGATGAGAGCATAATCTTTCCTAAAAGGCCGGCTACGCATTTGTAAGCTCTCTGGTGTCGCAGATGTCCATGGGCGGCGGTATTCACTTACCATCAGGTGAGCCTCCTGCTTTTTTCCCCATAAGTACTTAATAATTTTGGAACGAAACTAGTTTTTTTGTTGTATTTGTTACCACGTATTCCGTAATACGTATCTCCGGGGCGGGCTGTGACGCATATTCGATCGGTCAATTAAGAAAATTGTTTTCTACTATATTTAGGTTCAAGGTTCGTGAGAAGGCGCGCCTGGTTTAACAACAAATATACCTATTGAAAACATAGTTGAAAGATTAAGAAATGCTTAAGAAAACAAACATTATTTGTTTGTTATTTTAAAAAGTAAATTTTAAAATACATTTGTTTATTTTTTCCAAAAAAACAGTAATAAATCGTCTTTCGCAAATATAACGTTTTTATATTGTATACTATTATTATTTATATAAACATAAATGTAGCAATAAATGGTAAGAAGAATTATTTAAAAATCATTTACATTCAGCGAATTAAACGCATAAGGCAAAGTTAAATGACATGTTATTCTTCCAATCCCAAAATATGTATAAAACTTGGTATCAATTTCATTCATTATTGAAATAGTAACTTTGTAGCTTTTAAAATATTTCCTTCCAGTTCCTTCGATTTTAACGGTTGGCTTGGACTTACGTTTTGTACACACGTCTTGTGCGTAAACCTTGTCTAATTCAAAATGCCTTACCGCAGCAAAACCTAGGTTAATAATAAAAACGTTTAATAACTCGATCATTTGATCGTTGAGTTTAGGAGTCGAGTTATTTGTTCAATAATTAATAAAGCGAATTTGATTTTGTTAAGAACTATGTATATATAAAATGAATAAATGTTTGTCTATAATAATATTATAAAATTACTTTGAAACGAACATCTCTCGTAGAATTAATCGATTATATACAATTTTTTTCTAATAAAAAGCTCCGTTGTCCAGTAATTTATCGTCTATGCAGGACTTTTCTGTTGGATACTCTGGACCTAATAGTCGTACACCAAGTAGTAATAAAAAACTTTATATGTTATCAGTACACGATACAAATTGTAATTTCAATATTGCTCTATTTAAATATTTAGTCATATATTCCAACAGATTATGATGCGGAATCTAGCGATATTTAATTATTGTGATTTTAGCGATATTTAATATTTAATTGTTAAATTTAATTTCTAAACGTGGTTAATCGGTGCAGGCTATCTAGCTGTGAATACATAAATCTTTAAAAAAATTAAAATAATATTGAAAATAATATTGACCTATATTTAAGGCTATAGAGGTAATGCTTTAAATAAACTAATATTTAAACCAAAAGAAAATCCAAGGAAATGGAACCCCTCTACATCGATTTGATTGAGTTGACTTTGAATATTTATAGTGATCCATGTCAGATGAGGAAGCCATTGGCGGTCGGTAAGGGCTGCATAATCAGTGCCTCCGCTGCAGTTGCGAGCTTACTTGGCGGGCTTCGGTAGCGTGTCTTTTTCGCCCGCGAGCACTGCACAATTGTCACATTGCATATTCTCACGTGTGCGCGCTAACACGTCATAAAGTGTGCACATAAATTGGCTTTGAATTCCTCGTCTAGACGACACCTTCGCCATTACATTACAAGGTTCATTCAGTATACATAAAGCAAATGTATGGTGTAATTAGAAATTGTTACGGTGGATCCAAATTTATGGTATCAACTGTAGAGTCGAAGGACATTTAGCGAAAAAATTATATAGTTTCTATTTATAGAATTGCGTCATTTACGCGAATGCATAATGTGGGTCATAGACTGTTTAACGCTGCAAAGGTGCTAACTGAACTGAAAGGTCATCGTGACTGCCTCAAACTTTTTAGCGCCAACGGGGCTATATGCCGAAAACGAATAGCTGATCGTGATGGCAAATATTAGTTCCTGAAGCGGTAGGGGCGCTGAAGAAAACACGGCCTTGACTCGTCAGCCTGGAAGTTACGAAAGAGGGCTCAGCGTTATCCGGGACATAAACATAAAAATTTAGGCCGCCGTTGCTAAGAGCAATCGAATCGTCCGGCTGCATGGATCATAAACCGATTGAGATTTCTATTTCGGAAAGCACGATTCACCGAATACTATCCTTGGTAATGAGTGCTTGTTTAAAAATCGACTATCATATCAATAAATCGCGTTATCCTTGCAACCTGTCTGTTCGATTTTATTTAATAAAAGTAAAAATACATTTATGTATGCCACTGAGAAAAAGCTACGCAGTATCTGGGAGTGATATTTATAAATACTTAGCATAAAACTGGACTATAAACCACTAGGCACTAATCCAAATGCCGTGAAACGTCGATAGAATTGGCGTATTAAAATTGAAATACGGCAACACGTATAATATAAACAATTTTTCTTTCGCCTACGGGCAAAAACACGATTCGCGCGTAAAGATAATTTTGTCATAAACACAGCATTTGTTTCTGTTTAAACGAAAGTGAACACATACAACGAGGAAATGCAACGCACTTCACATGAAGCTTTACCAACACACAGCAAAAAAGTAAAACAAACAGCATAAATTATTAAAAAAGGGTCAGTACCGTCATCGTGCGACTTGATGCACTGTAAACAAGAGACTTTCTTTTTCTTTTTCACTTTGCTCTCGTCCTTTTTGGGCTTTCCGTTCACCACTTCGGTTTTCGGCGCGTCGTTTTTCGTTTTTGACTTCTTCTGGTTTTTCACAACACCCATTTTTGTGCCGTCGTCGCTAAATAGCGCGCGCGATACAGATATTTTTGTTTTGTTTTAATTATTCCTTTTTAAAATTGTTTTGTTTTTTTTTTCGCGATCCGCGGCGCGCGCGGCAGATGTGCGTTCGGAAACTAGCGCGGCACTAGCAACGCTTACTGCATCCGCGTGCGGGCAAGGAAACACTGGCAGTCGACAATGGAGCTCGCTAATGAGCCGAGCCACTAGCGGCCCATCGTCTGCGGAGCGAGGCGCGTGAGCTCACTCGTCCGCCAAATCGGGATGCTCGTTTAGGAATCAAGGCCAATGCGTGGATTTGTATTCCGTCTGTGGGCACCTCCTATATTTGATGCTAATTTCACTTAATATTTTGTACGAGCACTGTGTGAAATTACGTGGACAGTTATGATGCTACGATCGAACGATTATCGAGTATCGGTGCTTTTTTAATATTCGAAATGTTTATAAAAACTGTAGTATGAAAAACACCTTCCAGTTCGAGGATAGAGGTGAAGACTAAATTATATTTGCTTTACGTAAAATAGGCTAAGCTGGCTAACTGTGTCAGTTGTTGACGTAGGTAAAAAAAAATTGAATAGCTAATAAAATTAAATAATATAACTGAAGGGCAAACATATATCTGTCTTTTCAGTGCGGCGTTCGGTATGAGTGCACTTAAAGCTGTAAATGATGTAGCTACATCACTTTAATATTCCTTTTTAATAGTGCTTCGAGTAGTTCCGTTTCAAAAGCGTATTCTATATTTGGATCTGGCAATCGATAGTTTTCGAGGTTCGGCCCAAAATACATATACATATATCTACGGAACTATATGAAGAATATTAGTATTGTAAAAGAACATGGTCGACGTTTTGTGTACAACAGTGTTTCATAATGACAAATAACACGTGTGTGTAGTTTAGTAGTTACGTGCTGTGAAATAAATCACTTTCCTCGAAAGTCGACGTATAAGATCCAATATACGTAATGGCAGTACTCAATGATGTTATGAACTGCATATTTAAAAAATGTTTTAAAAAAAAATCAAAGACAGTATTTCATATTTAAGCAAGCATCTTTAAGGTTTATGAGAAGAAAATCTAAGCAAAGCATTAAGTATCTACTAACAAATGAAGCTTGGACCAAAAATGTCATTCTTATGAAAGACCCAATCAATAAACACGGCGACAAGCAAGGAAATCCGCGACAGTCCTCACCAAGCAAGTATGCAATCCTTGCTCAAATGGAAAAGTGAAAACTCGTTTAATATTCGTCAATTGTTGCTGATCGGAACGTTGGAATGGGAAATGGGACTTGGCAAGCGGCGTGTCTCGGGGCAGTAGGGCGATTAGTGTTAGGGCACGTGCACACTTGAATTGATTCTCAAACGACCCCCGCACAAGAACGATTGCTGTGTCGCTGCAGGCTTCCCAAACATGCTACAAGATACAACGGACTGAGACCAATAATTTTGGGCCGCACAAACCATTGGTGATTGTTAAACTTTTTGAATCGATCGTTTTGTTCATTAAGAAAATCATTCTAATCAATTCAGAGAGTTTAACAATCCTTTTGGCAACTCAAATAACATTTGAAAATCCATTTGACAACTGATTAGTTTGACGATGATCAGTGTTTCAGAAAACGTGCGTCAGAGACTGAGAAACAATTGCTGTCACGGTAGTTTTCCCAAACATGATAAAAACTACAACCGAATTGGAAACGACTATTTGTGACTAGGGTGTAACGGCAATTGGCGATATGCAACATTAGCTCAATCGATTTATTACCTAAAAATTTAACCCATATTGATGATTTATGAACTTTACGTTGGCTTTCTTGTTTATGGAGCGTTTAAGTATGATGTCATCTCAGCGTATATTTTTGTTGATTCAAATAAGAAGATACTTTACATGGTCTCAAGATTTAAGCAAATATTGGTATACGCAATTGGAAAATTCCAAATTTGCGAAATCTTAATACCGGTAATAATTTTTGGTAAACATAAAAATCTGTATAACGAAACAGAGCTTGCGCGCCAAAACTGGTCGCCTATTGTTTAATCAACACAAAAGGCGTTATGACAACGCTACATTTTCATTTGGCTGCTATTTGTTTACGCTAATGAATTTATGGTCAGTCGTTTTAAAAATAGTTTTAGAAGCAGTTTAAAGATTGTAATAAAGTTGTTTGATTGGTGTCGATAATTACTATTAATTATTTTTTATCATAACACAATAATAATATTCGCAGATATAGAAAAAATAACAAACTGATAATAAAATAATAAGTAGATGCAATAATACATTGTACTGTAGTGTATATTATTCTTTTCATAAAATAAACAGCATTCTGTATGGAACGATTATAATGAATAATTAAGGAGGTAAATGAAAGCGAGAGATCTAATAAAGGTAGTGAAAAATAAACATAAGAAAGGAAGAAGATAAGATCAAGAAGAAAACAATCTCGATATATTCACATTTTCGACCTTACGAGAAGGATTATCTTATTTTAATTTATTCGTGTGCAGTAGCCCTTATGGCGCCCATATTGATAGACAGGTTGTAGATGCGTTAAAAAAAATGGGAAAGCAGGCAGATTGATTCTTTGAAACGCCTCTTTACATTCCTATATACAACAGCATACATATGTAGTATAATCAGAACGGGCTAAACTTAATGACTCAAAAGAAAAAAACAATTCCTGTGAACCAATTTTTGTATCTTACAAAGTAACTACAGTTTTATTTGAACTACGTAAATAAGCTTTTAACGTCTACGACTTTGATGTAAACTTTTAAGGCTATTTATAGAAACAATTACACCCTAGTATGGTAGTTGTTTTAAATAACAAAAGGAAAGCTAAACAAGATTTTAAAGACAAACTTACGAAGTAAACGGATAGGGATTATCTTATCCAGATTACCGAGTTTATTTATAGGTTGACGGGCGAGGTTTAAATTAGAATTATTGATTATAAGCGTGATCAAATTTATTAATCACGCTTCAAGCTTAAGATCCTTCGTAAAATGTATATTTATTACAGAAATATCTGTGTCATCAAAATTGCGATCAACAAAAGAAATATTTGTATCATCAAAATAAGTATCTGTAACATCATTTAGGTACATAAAACGGTTAACTGTTACTAAATTTCTTAGATAATTCACTGAAATCATAATCTATCAAGACAATCTTTCATTTGAGATCAACCAATTGAAGTTGCGAGACCGTATGACAATGTTCTAATTGTGGTTACAATTACAAAGATACCGATATACGAATACAAACCTGTTTACTATGGAGTCATTCGTGAATGGAAAGAATTGTAATTTTGGGGTAAAATTATAATCGTCACTCGATACTCAATTTTCAAATATAGTATGTTGAAGTTTATAGAATTTAAAAGATTTTATAAGGAATTATTGTGACCTAGTTACAAAAATTATGTAAACATTAAATGTAGGTAGTGCCTGGTATTTTAATAGCATTGAGGAGTCGTAAGGGTCATGATTTAATTTATGCGACCTTTTGACAGTTGCAAGTCGTGATATCCTGGTTGTTAGGACCTGAGCCTTGTAACAGTGGATTTCAGTTTCTCAAATATCGACTATCGAATATATTATTGAATATTGTCTGCTTGTCTGCAACCTTGATTTGGTCCTAAAGGCATTGATGACACGTCGCTAGTTTATTTGTATGTTTACTGTTACCGTATATTATTTTTAATGTAATCTTTTTATTTATTTTTGCTTTATGCCAGTTGTCGAACATTGATCATAAACATTATCGAAGTTATAATGAAAACATATAGACATTAATTTTCATTTTTTACAACATTGTCTTCTACTTTTATACAATAGTTTGTATCTGCAACCGTACGTATATATGTGCATTCACAATAAAAAATACTGTTACTAATTTTTTTTCTAGAGCGCTTCTTTGTTACCTATTTATATTCTTATCCTTTAAACGAGCAATTCTTGTATATATATACAAGAATTGCTCGTAAAGGATAAGAATATAAATAGGAATATATATATATATATGTATATATATATAGTTTGTGCGTAGATTCGGGGGCGAAGAATCGATCTAATTAGGTTTCATTTTTGGAAAATGTCCTTTTATCCCTGTTTTCAGGGTACGAAAATATCATTCGAATATGACAGTAAATTTCGCCGCAAAAAAATGTTATAATAGCTCGGTCGGTAATCGGGCGGCCCCAAAACAGACCGCCGCGGTTCGATCACGATCATTTACACACTTATTTTTTAAACTTTTTTTTCTATACCAGATCATTTTCTTTATTTTTTATTTCCAAAATACATGATTTACCAAAAAAAAAACCGGTCCTCCAGGTACTATCGATTTATAGGACCTTCAAAAATTTGTGCACTTCTTATGCCCTTGTTCCGCGGCGACAGGCTATAAACAAGTTAACCTGTCACGAGCATGTATAATATTTTTATAGGTCAAACTGTGGGTGGAGCCTCTGTCAGTCAAATAAAAACAGGTATGTATTATAATTAAAAAAAACACTTGTCGTAACGTAGGGTATCCACATATAAAGGACACGGTTTTATTTTTATTCCGGTAACAGTGGCGAGTTAAAAATGTGACAGATACTGATAAAGTCGCAGAATCAGGAAGTCAGCTACTCTAAACATAATGTTTGACCTGTGTAAATATTTTTCAGAGACCGTTACCGTTTACACGCAACTTACGACTATGTACACATCACCTACGTAAGTGACAACAAACAGCGTAGTATGGTTGGAATAGAACCTCTGGTATGAGTAACATCAGTTGGACAAAGGTTGGAAATTGAGCGTTAATTCAATAACGAATAAGTTTGAATTTGACATGTTGAGAATTAACTATAACCAATATTGAAAGTTTATTATTTTAATGAAATAGCATAATATGCTGAGCATATGCTATGCTACGCGACCTTTCGACAGTTTGCTTTCCTATTTATCATAACTAAACAGTTTAATA